CAACCAAAAAAAGCCACGTAAAAGCCTCTAACTCACAAAATCAAACCAATAATATGTTATCATGTCATCATCTTCAACCTCCAACAACTGCATCACACTAGAGTAATAAACGAGCCACCATAGATCTTCCTTTCAACTGCAACTGCACACCACCTTGAAACCACCACAGTGTTGTAACAACAACCCTAATGGAGATGAAGAAAAGCTTCATTTGAGAAAGAGGGAACTAACCATGTGGCAGTCTCTCATTGGATATTCAATAAGTCTAAGTTAAATTTAGGTCAAATATTCAAAGTTGGTCAAAGTTTGCTCAAACAAAATGCAAATATTGATATCTTTAGATTTCTCTTTAAATTTGGACTACATGATTAGAAGGGATGAATTGGAAAATTAATGCAAACATTAGTGGTTGATTATTTATCAAATATGTTAAATAATTTATTTATTAAATTATATCAATAAATATAAACAAACAACATTTGTTAAATATTTTTAAAATGGGCTAAATGTCTCTAAATTCTTTTAGATATCTATAATCAACACATAAAGATAAATTATATTTATGATTATTTAAAATATAATTGATGAACATTACATTATGAGAAAAAGAGATTTCATTAATAAAAAAGTCAGACACAAAGCTCAACCATTTCTATGTAAGGAGACTTAGGACAAACACATTAGGAGAACTTAGAAACCCTTTGCGGAGCCTAATTTCGTCCTTTCTCTCATCTTTCACGTGCTCTACCATCTCTTCTTCTATTTTTATGTTATTTCTACATCTCACGGAGTTAACTTTTTAGGGTTGATTCTATTATAATTTTTTAGCTAGATTATGAAGTTAGATGAATAAATTTGTTTGTTCTTTTGATTCTTGTTGTGATTTATTTTTATCTATGTATTTTTTCTCTTAATAAGTAAAAGTAATGTGTTTTACATTGTTAGAAATTAGTACGGTGTTAAATCTACTTAACATAACAATCATGAGTCTAATGATTTTTAATTTTGATTAAGAAGTTACTTTGATTAAAGTTAGAAACTTTCATATCATTGAATGTGTTTTTTTTTCAATAACTGAGAAATTACATTGATTAAAGGTGAAAACTTTATTTAAAAATAATCAATAAGTTACTTTGGTTAATTAGTTTTTTACTAAATATAAGAGGTAAAAGAGTAGACATGATTAGACATAGTAATATTTAAATGAGAAGTTACTTTGATTAAATTTGCTATGGTTAATCTAAAAAATTATTGATTTTGATTCACAAGTAACTTTGGTTAAAAGTGAGGATGTGAACAAATTAATTGAGAAGTTGCATTGATAAACCTGAAATCTTATACAATAAATCAATAATAATAATCTTTAGAAAACCAATTATGAGTCCAATTTTGAAAAAAATAGTGCAGTTAACATATTTTCTTTATTATTATTTTTTCTTTTTTTCTTTTTTCAATTATATTTCTTTTTGTCATTATTATTATTTTTATTTAATCATTTATTAATTTTATTTTTCTTACTATTCTTTTATTATTTTATTTAATTAACCCATTTAGTATAGTTTTTATAAGAACTATTTTTTTAGAAATCAATTTTGTGCTTGTTGGGAGATGACTTATGGTTGACTTTACTCTTTTTAATTTTTTTTTGTTATTATCTTAACAATACTAAAATTATTATAGTTATGTAGTATTGATTTGATCTCGTCAACAACAACATTATGAGTTGGGTAAGCTATTGTTCTAAAAGATTGCATTATGAGTTTAGATATTATGGCTATAATAAAGGATTTAACTTATAACATGTGAAGAAACTTGAACATTATGATCATAAAGAGTCTATAATATAATTACAAATACTATATTTCTTTTCATCATAAAAATGACTTAACCATTAATCAAATAGCATAAAATTTCATACTTTTTCATCTAAAGACATAACAATTAAACAAAGACTTCTGAATTAATGTATTTATTAGACTCTAAAACTATGTGCCTATTATACTCAGTCTTGTCTTTCAAGGGTATTCATTTTCCTGTTATATGCCCCCCCAACCCCTCCCCTCTCCCCTGATGCTCTCTATAAAATGGCGCTTAACAATCTCACTACAACGTTCATCGTTGAGATCACTGGAACTCATTGCATAGAGAATGCTCATTAACACTAAAGTGAAGCCCAACACTACCTCCTCTGAGACTTTCTAACTTGAAATTTTTTAACTAGCGCCTGATGATACTAGTACGACATCGACACTACCTCAACATATTCACACCAACTTGATTTTTCTCTACATTGTGATGCTCAATTCAAATTGTCCAATTGTTTCTACTCAAAATCAATCACAATTTATAATTCAAACCATCTAATTTAGGCAACATGTTTGAGCATCATAATGTACAAAAAATAAATGCACACACCATTATCAAAGATATTCAAAAAATTTCACAATTTATCTCATTTAATCCCCAAATGAACACTTTATCAGACCTAACACACTCATATATGCAATAGTACTATGCAATGGAATCAAATTCATAGTACAATATAGTTTGTTGTAAATTATAGCTTCTCTTACCTTAAAGTTGAACACCTAAGGCTCTACAATTCTCTCTTCACAACCCACTCGTTCGGCAACTCTAACTACACAAAAACAACCTCATATCCATTATATGACCCCATTACAAGAATCAAAACCACACATAGACTCAAATTGAAGAAGAAAGAGTTACATGCGACTTACCTAACTCATGTGCATAAATAGAACATATCAAATTTATTGAAAAAAGGATAAAAGAAGATTTTACTCTATTGAGTATTTCAATTAATTGGATTCGCAAAGTTCTCCACTATGAGCTCAAAGATGGTATGTGATTGAAAAACAGATAAGAGATGAATGAGGGAGCTTAGTGAGAAGTAAAAGAAGATTGAGGAAAAAAGTTGTTAGAGAGATGAAATATAATTTCTATATGAATTCTTTATAATAAAACATATCTATAGTTTAGCCTTTTATTAATAACGTATACATACATATACATATATATATATATATATATATATATATATCATTTTATTAAACTTATCAATACTGATCTTTAAGGTTTTAAAAAAAGTATACATCAATTTGAAAATATTAACATGTTAAGACAAGATCGTTTAAGCAAATCTTATTTTGAAGTTTAACCTAATGTCTAAACGAAATAACGTTTAATCGTCTAGGATAAAATAAAGGAAGCGTTAAACGCTACATCGTAAGTACCTTAAATGATATAAGAATGCCTAACTAGAATAACTTTTAATGAATGTTTGACAATCTAGAATAAGCTTTAAATGCTAAAGGGAAGTATAACAAAGCGTCTCATATGAACAACATCTAACAAAAAGGTTAGATCAACACTAAACTCTATAATTTGAACTATTCTAAACAACATAATGTTACTCAAACATATTGTGCTAAACAATAGTACTCAAATTATGCTTAAACGCTTAGGACCGTCTAACGCTTCAAAGCTTGTACGTTCTATTACTTCTTTGTCTATTGTGTTGTGCTCTCTTTTTTGTACATATTTCCATCTTTATTAAAAAGTTTGCTCAGAATCAAAACAACGTTAAGAAATAAGAAGATATTCAAGGAATGTTTACTTCATGCTTTTTCTATATCCTTTTTGTACACACAATACAATTGTTCTGTCAAGACGTAACATAGTTTATGACTCTACCTTAAAGACTACACCTTTAAAAGAAATTTTTTCGATGATGTCTATATAAAGAGGATTGCATGAAGAGAAGAATAACAAGAAATATCTTATTGCAGTATGCTCACGCTGCTTCTCTCTTTAAGATTGTCTCTTTAACTTGCCTTTGAAAAGAAAATTTCTTTTACAACTTTTCATAATATCATTGTATTCATTATGTTCTTGTAAGATTTCAAAACACTTTGTATTTGTATTCAGAAATGAATTAACACTCTTGTAAGGTTAACTCAATGAAGTTAAATTATTTAATCAGATAGACTAACGATATTATGAGTGGTTATACTCATCTAACCAATGGATTAGTTGTACACTAGGACTAGTTAAACTCATTTGAAATCATTTGTAATTAGTGATACTCTTTAAAGAAATTTAAGAAAAAAGTAAATGTAACTTAATTTAAAGTGAACAAATATACTTTATTATTGTTATTTTTCAAAGATTTTTTATTAAACGTTGTTTTAGAATCTCAAGTATTTAACCTATTGAATAGTATTTAACCCAAAAGCCTTAAAACTGAGGCCCAGTTTGCAAGGCCTATTGGAGATAAAAAAAACTATTGCCTTGAGGCAGTCATGCCAACAAAGAGAAAGAAAAGACACGAGAGTCTTCTACTGGAAGCTTAGAGAAAAGAAGCACGAGGCTTGCTCTGGCGGTGTGTGCTCATGATGTCTCTGGAAGGAGGGAAGCAAACTGATCGATGCATAATCTTCAAGAAAGGTAAGAGAAAAACTTAATCTTTTTATTTCTGTAATAATGTACAAGTTTTTGTGTATTACATCTGAAAGGGGAAAAAGCTCTATCCTTTAAATAGGTTAGGGAAAGAAGGGAAAAGGGCAAACCCGCAACAAACCAAACAGATTACTACTACTAAGTAGTAATCCTAATTACAACATAACTGAAATAACAAATATCAACATCCTTTCCTTAAGCTGGATTGTGTATATTCATCAATCCAAGCTTAGGAACGATAAATTGGAAGCGCACGCGGTGAAAGAGCTTTGTGAAGATGTCACCAAGTTGCTCGTTGGAGCTAGGAGACAAAGGAGATTCGCTTGAATATTCTCACGAACAACATGACAGTCTAGTTCTATGTGTTTAGTTCTTTCATGAAAGCTCTGATTGTGAGCAATATGTCTAGCAGACTTATTGTCACAGTAAAGCGCAACAATAGTAGTGGTCTCAACACTGAGATCTTGTAGGAGATAGGGGATCCATTGAATCTCACAAATTGTGACAACTAGAGCACGATATTATGCTTCAATAGAAGACATGGACACAATATTATGCTTCTTAGTCTTCCATGATATAAGAGAGGATCCGAGGAAGATAGAAAATCCAGTAGTGGATCTTCTTGTGTTAGGACAAGTTGCCCAGTCTGAGTCACTAAAAGCCTTTATTTGGATATGGGAATCAGCAGCAAAGAAAAGGCCTTGTGAAAGGCTGAATTTTACGTATCTTAGCATATGATGCAAAGCCCGGTAGTGATAATCAGTAGGAGCTTGAACAAATTGACTGAGAAGATTAACAGAAAAACATAGATCAGGTCTAGTATTAGTGAGATAAAGAAACTTCCTTATAAGTCTACGATAGGAGCTGGGATTGGCCAAGTAATTCTCTGTCTTATACAAGGAGTTGGTGTCACTTAGAAATGAGGTAGTGTAGGGCTTGCATCCTAGCATTCCTGTCTCTTCAAGAATGTCCAGTGCATATTTCCTCTGGCATAGGCGTATCCCCCTCTTAGATCTGGCTACTTCAAAGCCTAAAAAGTATATCAACTTCCCTAGGTTTTTGATACGAAAGGAATGATGAAGAAGACATTTAATGTGTTCTATTTCGGTGATAGAATCTCCTGCCAAAATAATATCATCTACATACACAAGGAGAGCAGTAAAATTTGTGGATGTTTTCTGAATAAAGAAAGAATGATCAGATTTAGATTGAATGTAACCAACAAAGAGAAGAAATGATGATAATTTATCAAACCATTGTCTGCTGACCTACTTCAGCCCATATAAGGATTTAGTTAGCCTACAAACTTGACCTTTTGTATGTATGTTCAACTCTGGTGGTGGCTCCATATATACCTCTTCATTTAGGTCTCCATGCAGAAAGGCGTTATCAACATCCAGTTGATGTAGATGCCAATTTCTTGAGGCAGCAATAGCAAGAAGGATTCTAACATTGGTTAGTTTAGCCACAGGGGAAAAATTGTCCAAAAAGTCTATACCTTCTTGTTGTATATAACCTTTAGCAACTAAACAAGCTTTGTACCTTTCTATGATGCCATCAGCTTTGTGCTTGATCTTGTACACCCATTTGCAACCAATGAAATTTTTTCCAAGAGGAAGTTGAGTTAAGCACCAAGTGTCATTGTCCTGTAAGGCTTTTAGTTCTCTTTTCATGGCTGTGATCCATTCACATTTGTCTTTTGCCTCATTATAGGATTTAGACTCATTGTTGACAGATATTGCCAAAGTGTACTTTAGGTGTTTTTCTGATAAAGAGTTATAAGACAGAACATTGGAAATAGGATAAGGAGTCTTGTAGCTATTTTTTCCATGAAGATAACTTGATGAGGAATGATTAACCTGGTGTATGTAGTCATTTAGGTATCCAGGGACTCTTTTAACTCTGGTAGATTTTCTGGAATTGTGATCTTCTCTATCATTAGTATGATCAATACCAGTGTCAATGGTAGTGTCTTCATTGCTATCAGACTTTTGTTCTATATCTCTATTCTCTTCAAAATTCTAAACTTCATCACAGTTTTGACCATACCAAAAAACATTAGGTAAAACATTGTCAATCTCTTTCTCATCATGGCTGGTCTCATTACCTTGTGCATCGATGTAGGGGAAAATATTTTCATAAAAAATAATATTCCTGCTTAAAAATATCTCCCTAGTACTAACATCTAGTATAACATATCCTTTAACACCATTTTTATAACCTAAGAAAACACATTTTCTGGCTCTAAAATCGAGTTTATGTCTGTTGTGCTCTAAAGTGGAAGCAAAACATAGGTAGCCAAAGGTTTTTAAATTCAAATAGGTGGGAGGATTGTCATACATTAAATCATAAGGAGTCTTACCATTTATAACAGATGTGGGTAATTTATTTATCAAATAAATGACATGAGATATAACATAAGACCAGTAGGCAGTAGGTATATTGCATTGAAAAAGAAGACTACAAGTTTTATCTAATATATGTTGGTGTTTACGTTCAACAATAGAATTCTGTTAGGGAGTCTCAACACAACTTTTTTTATGTTCAATACCATAGGAATCATACATAGCAACACAGTTAAATTCAGGACCATTGTTAAATCTAATAGTCTTAACAATTTTTCCAAATTGATTTTCAATCTTTAGAATAAAACTCTGCAAAAGTTTCCTAGTTTGTCCTTTATTTTGCATCAAGAAAGCCCAAGTGTATGTACTGTAATCATCAACAATTGTAAGAAAGTATTTATGTCCATGAATAGAAGGGATTGAGACATGACCCCATATATAACAATGTATCAATTCAAAACAATTAGTAGAAGCAGTAGTGCGTTTAGAAAAAGGAAGTTTATGTTGTTTAGCATAATGACAAATGTCACAAACAATTTTGGATGGCATTTGAACATAAGGAAAATTCTTACAAATTTTTTGTATGATTTTGTGGCCAGGGTCACCGAGTCTGTAATGCCACAAATCATCATTAACTTGTTTACAAGAAAGTACAAATTTAAGAACATATTCCTGGCTAAAAACAGGAAAAGATTGTAGATAGTAAAGGCCTTTGTAAACATTAGCATGCTCAATCATCTTCAAGGTAGAGATATCCTGTATCTGACAAGTCTTAGAAGAAAAAGTTAGAGTGCAATTTAAGTCCCTAGTTAGACTTCGTACAAATATTAAAAATGATGAAACTCTTTGAAAACTGAATGGTTCCAGCATGTTGGGCAGTAGCTATAGAGTTGTTTGGAAGCCTAACAGATATGGGTTTAATTTTATGAAAGGTAATAAAATGTTTTCTTTCAAGGGTCACATGATCAGTGGCCCCAGTGTCTATAATCCATGAAAAATTACCTAGGTTGTCTCCAAGAGTGTTTCTTTGCACTTGGCTAACACTGTGTGAGGAATTGTCAATGCCTTCTATCATTTTTAGCAATGTTTGCATCTGTTCAGGGTAAAAGATTGCATATGATTACTGTTATGTCCTTGTTGAACATTTTGTGTCTGGGTAAAGGTAGAATCATCCTTGTAGACATTAGCAAAACTCCACTCATTTTGTCCTCCCCTGTCTTGAGTATTGTTGTTGTCAGTTTTCTTGTACCGTGATGGATAATCGTGTTTGGAATAACACTCATCAACTGTATGATTCATCTTGTGACAATGGGAACATTGTTTCCCATAATTGAGATTTCTCCCTCTTACTCTACCTTGGTCACGTGAGCTAGTGCCACGTCCTTGAGGCTTCCAAGTGGATCTATCAGTAGTGCTGGCCAGGATTTTGAAGGCATCAGTCTAAGGAATAACTCCAGGATGTGATCTTTCCTGATGTTCTTGTTGCATGAGGAGAGAAAAAACTCTGTTGATGTTGGGCAGAGGTTCCATCAAGAGAATTTGGGTTCTAACAGTTTGGCAAGTGTCATTTAAACCCTTCAGGAAGCATATGACGTGCTCCACCTCTATGTACTTGAGAGTAACTCTGGACAATTCACAAGTACAAGGGATTTGACAGTTGCAACAGGGTATGGGTCTAAGGGATTCTAACTCTTCCCATAGAATTTTCAAGTCAGTGAAATATTGGTTGACATTACGCTCTCCCTGTTTAATGGAATGTATATCCCGTAGTAAATCTGAAATCTTAAAATAATCTCCTTTAGAAAATCTTTCTTTAAGTTGTTCCCACAAATCTTTGGCATTGTCAACATAGATGACACTATCTACAATTTGGCTTGAAAGGGTCTTGATGATCCAAGATAAAACCATGGTGTCACATCTTTCCCAAGCATCAAACAAAGGGTCAGTTCTTGGTGGCTTCTTGATACTGCCATTAATGAATTTGATCTTGCTTTTGGAGAGAAGAGCCCCTTTCAAATTCCTGCTCCAAGATGAGTAGTTAGTTTCATTTAAAATCTGGAAAAAAAGAGTAGTACGTGGATTTTCTCCCGGATAAAGATAAAACGGGCTTGAAGGTTGAGTGGTGGGATCTGGGGTGTCCAAAAGCAAGAAACGTGTTGTACTTCTGATACCATATTAAGATAGGTCCAAAAGCCTTAAAATTGAGGCCCAGTTTGCAAGGCCTATTGGAGATAAAAAATCTCCACTACTGCCTCGAGGCAGTCATGCCAGCAAAGAGAGCAAAAAGACACGAGAGTCTTCTATTGGAAGCTTAGAGAAAAGAAGCAGAAGGCTTGTTCTAGCGATGTGTGTTCATGATGTCTCTAGAAGGAGGGAAGCAAATTGATCGGTACAAACCAAAGAGATTACTACTAAGTAGTAATCCTAATTACAACATAACTGAAATAACAAACATAAAGAAAAACTAAATATAACTTAATTTAAAGTGAATAAATATACTTTATTATTGTTATTTTTTGAAAGATTTTTTATTAAACGTTGGTTTAGAAACTCAAAGTATTTAACCTATTGAACAGTGTCTAACTTTTGCCAAGATAATTAAACATTTAAAACTCTATTTAGACTCTCGTTTTTAGAATTTTGTGTTTCGTAAAATTCTTTTTCTTTTTACTTCCTGTAAAATAATATTATTTTTGTTATATAATTGAGGTGACTATTCCATCCGGGTTGAATATCAACAGTAACTTAAATATAATTTATGTTAACAAAAAGTTCAATTGAAATAATTTAATGTAAAATTTGAATCTCTTCTAAAATATACATTATGTTTGCTTTTAAATTTGAATCCATTTAAATGAATTATGAGATCAATCAAAAACCTTATTCATGGATGTAACGTGCTTTATTTGAATCATGGGAAAGAAAATCAAGTAAAAAATGAAAAAAAGAAAGAAAGAAAAGGAGGTGAAGTGAAGTTATTTAGACGAGTTGAAATAAAATGAGAATGAATACAATATAATGTAATTATGTTTATTTAATAAATTTATTGATATTTTTTAACATGGTTTATGATTATTTATTTTTGATTTAGTTCAAAGTTTGAGTGATCTTAAACCAGAATCTTCAAATTGCTCATTCTTCTCTCTCAAAAGATCTTTAACACAAACCACTATTCTACAAAACGTGTAAGATGTAACATAATCACATCATATTTTCTTCTATATCCGTACGAATAAATAATATGAGATTTCAAAAGTTTTTGACTTATTGACACGTGACCATTTATATATTTTTTTGTAAATTAAAAAAATTAAAAACTTCAAGAATTGAATTAACATATCCAAATATGAAATTAGCATCAACTCATCAGAAAAAATTAAATTAAACCTTTTTAAAAATTTAAATTAAATAAAAAACCAATAAATTAAAAAATAAATCTAAGACAATTTTCTACCGATTGTTAGAGTTTAATATTTTAGTCTTCAAAACAAATAACCACCTGTCCCTGTGGAGGGACCAACGACGTCTCAATTTCAAACACGTGCGTTTATTAATTATATTATTGGTAGCACTTTCGAATTCTCAAACAAAAGATGACAAATACATGTAGCCATAAAATATGATAATCATATCTAAAATAATTGTTTTATTTATATTTAAAAAGTAAAAAAGATATGTCCGTCCATATACGAGCATTTCAATTACTTGAAAAACTAGAAAATAGGTCCCCATATATATATATATATATATATATATNCATCTACATACACAAGGAGAGCAGTAAAATTTGTGGATGTTTTCTGAATAAAGAAAGAATGATCAGATTTAGATTGAATGTAACCAACAAAGAGAAGAAATGATGATAATTTATCAAACCATTGTCTGCTGACCTACTTCAGCCCATATAAGGATTTAGTTAGCCTACAAACTTGACCTTTTGTATGTATGTTCAACTCTGGTGGTGGCTCCATATATACCTCTTCATTTAGGTCTCCATGCAGAAAGGCGTTATCAACATCCAGTTGATGTAGATGCCAATTTCTTGAGGCAGCAATAGCAAGAAGGATTCTAACATTGGTTAGTTTAGCCACAGGGGAAAAATTGTCCAAAAAGTCTATACCTTCTTGTTGTATATAACCTTTAGCAACTAAACAAGCTTTGTACCTTTCTATGATGCCATCAGCTTTGTGCTTGATCTTGTACACCCATTTGCAACCAATGAAATTTTTTCCAAGAGGAAGTTGAGTTAAGCACCAAGTGTCATTGTCCTGTAAGGCTTTTAGTTCTCTTTTCATGGCTGTGATCCATTCACATTTGTCTTTTGCCTCATTATAGGATTTAGACTCATTGTTGACAGATATTGCCAAAGTGTACTTTAGGTGTTTTTCTGATAAAGAGTTATAAGACAGAACATTGGAAATAGGATAAGGAGTCTTGTAGCTATTTTTTCCATGAAGATAACTTGATGAGGAATGATTAACCTGGTGTATGTAGTCATTTAGGTATCCAGGGACTCTTTTAACTCTGGTAGATTTTCTGGAATTGTGATCTTCTCTATCATTAGTATGATCAATACCAGTGTCAATGGTAGTGTCTTCATTGCTATCAGACTTTTGTTCTATATCTCTATTCTCTTCAAAATTCTAAACTTCATCACAGTTTTGACCATACCAAAAAACATTAGGTAAAACATTGTCAATCTCTTTCTCATCATGGCTGGTCTCATTACCTTGTGCATCGATGTAGGGGAAAATATTTTCATAAAAAATAA